CTCCTCCCCCCTCGGATGCCAATGCGCAACCACATTTCCAGTGCAGCTGACCAAGTTACATTGGCCCCAAGGCCTCTGCCCTGGGGAGCCCAACAGGGCATCTGTGCCCTGGCACACCCACTCCAGGGACCACGCATGCCGTGGGCCTGGGCGCTGCAGACCATGTGGGAAAGAAAGCAGGCCAGGTAGAGCTGGAGGGGGAACTGAGGCACCAACCAGCCGAGGAGGAAGAGGGGACACCATTTTCCTAGTGTAGCAGCCCTGAGCGTTATGCAAACCCACTATTGCCAGATCTAGCTCTTTTTTTTCCCACAGAAAGCCAAAGCTCCAGATTTTTATGTGAAATTTCCTGATTTTCAAATTCTGGCAAGTAGTTTTTTAAATGTTTAAAGCACCATGAATAATAAGCCAAATAAGCCATGTGTGCAGACTGCAGTCAGCCACGGCCGCCAGACCTTCAGCACCCACCCCAGCCTCCTCCTGGGACCTGCCAGAGACCCAAGCCTCGGGGCCTCAGGGCTCGCCTGGCCAGAAGAGGCTGCCCTGTGCCAGGGACTCACCCTCTCCTGCAGGGGCGCCTCGGCCCTCCTTGGGTGCACAGCAGCCGTTCTCCACTGCTCTGGAGGCTTCTGGCGGGGTCTCAGCTGCACCCTCTCCCTCAGCTGGGGCCCCGGCCTTCTGCCCCCCAGCGGGGCTCCCTTCCTCTGGCTGGGGCTCAGTCCGCTTCTCCAGGTCCCCGTTGGGTAACAGCTCTGAGGAGCCCGAGTCCTGGGCCATGGATGGGGACCTGGAGGTCGCTGCGGGCTCCTTGGGTGTGTCACTGCTTTCCACCTGCAAAGGGAAGACAGATGAGGGACGATGAGATGGCTGTCCACACTACCTTTGTTTTGTTTGTTTGTTTGTTTGTTTTTGGTACAGGGGATCGAACTCAGGACCTTGCGCTTGCAAGGCAGGCTCTGGAATCCCCGGCCCTCCACACTACCTTTGGATCACAAATCCTCTGAAATTCTCCAGAAACCTTTGTGCAAATGGATCTATTTACAAGTCTGCCTTTGGTCAGAGAGTCCACAGGCCAGCATAACCCCAGGGTCAGAGGCCCAGCAGGTTGGCCAGCCTGGTGCCGTGCTCCAGGGACACCCCATCACACTCTGCTCGCTGAGGCTCCTAGGACTTCCAAGCATTCCCTCTTCAAAATAACCCTCCAGGCATGGGAGGCCCAGGGGGCCTCCAGAAAAAGCACTCTCTGGATCCAAGCCTAGCAAAGCCCCACAGCTCAGACCCTGAAAGTGCTCAGGCCCGGGACAGCCAGGGTCTTGGCCGATCCACAGCCCCCCTCTGCAGCACCCCACTGCATGCAGGCGCCCACAGGCTTCATCCTGAGGCCTGAGGACCAAGCTCACTGCCCTCAGCTAAGTCACAGCATCATCCTAACTGTCTTTTGCCCTCAGGGTCTCTCTGTCTCCCTGGGAACCAGGTGAGGAATCTGAGGCTCTTGGAGAATTCTGTGATTTGCTCAGGGTCACCTGCTTTGTAAGGATAGCCTATGCCCTTTGCGCTCCAACGATGCACGCCTGTCCCTGTCCATCTAGAGCAAAGTAGCCGGGACTTCTCAGGGAGAAGGGAGGTGTTCAGCTCAGGGAAGGAAGAGGTGGGGTGAGCAAGCTTGACCAATGAACACTTAGTCTCTCAAATACTAGTTTTTCTATAATGAAAGTCAGGGGAGGGAGAGATGGAGAAGGGGTGATCAAAGGGTACGAAGTTAGGGTGAGGGGTGGGACACACCAAGGTGTCGCTGTGGGGTAGGAAGAGGACAGGTAACGGTTACAAACTGTACACAAGGGGGCCGCAAAACACACTGCTGAAATTTTAAACCTGTAACAGTAAAAGATACATTGCACTGGAGCCTGCCATGCAAGCACAAGGACCCGAGTTCGATCTCCGGTACCAAAAAAAAAAAAAAAAAAAGATACATTGCCATTAATCCCACTCAAACACTCCTGCTTGCTTCAAACACATCACATTATTTTTGCCAGTTTGTCTAGAGACAGGGTCTCGGTACATATTCTAGGCTGGCCTGAACTCATGGCAATCTTCCTGCTTCAGCCTCCCAGGTGCTGGGATTACAGGCACGCACCACTATGCCTGGCTTCTTGCTACTTTCTGAAGCAGTTCCTTAAATTCTCTTTCAAGAGTGTCCTAGCCAGGTGTGGTGATGTATGCCTATAATCCCAGCGCTTGGGAGGCTGAGGCAGGAGGGTCATTATGAGTTCAAGGCCAGCCTGGGCTGCATACTGAGTTCAAAGCCAGCCCAAACTATATAGCGAGACCTTGTTGCCAAAAAAAAAGAAAAAGTGTTTTCGAGGTGTGATAAAAATACAGTGGATGCTTTCTTGCCATCCAACAGAAAGGCAGGCTCATAAACACATTATGCACATCCTCATCCACCTTATTCAGTACTGGGTCTGGCACCATGTGACTCCTGGCTCTTCCCAAAGTCAAAATGACCAGGACAGGTAAACTTCAAATCCATTCAGGACATCGAGGCAGCCATGACAGCGCAACTAAACACATAAAAGAGGACTTCCAAACTGCTTTGGAAAGTGGCAAGAACGATGGGCTAAGTGTGTTTGAAGCAAGGGGGATTAACAGCAATCTGTTTTTTACTGTAATAAATTTTGTTTAAAGAATTAAACATGCACTGTATTTTTTATCACACCTTGTATATCAGAAAGCTGGAAGAGCCGGGGATGTGGCTCAGCAGCACCGCACCTGCTGTGCAAGTGCAAGGTCCTGGGTTTGATCCCCGGTACCAAAAAAATAAATAAATAAAACAAATAAGCTAGAAGAACAGATTTTGAATGTTTTCACCATAAATGCTTAAGGAAATACATATGTTTGACCTGATTTATACACTGTACAACATAAACATAACTGAAATGTCACATAGCAATCCATTAAAATGTACACTTTGTTCTTATGTATTAAAATTTTAATGAGTAATAAAAATCAAACATATTATAAAAATTCAAACTGCATGAAAATCCTTGTGTTGAAGGTTAAAGTTCCCATTTTAACTCTCTACCCTCAAGATCACCCCTCCCCCAGCACGCTGTTATTATCAGACAAGTTCCCACTCAGGGTTTTTTCCCAGAACTGGGGATCGAACATAGGGGTGCTTTACCACTGAGCTACACCCCCAGTCTTTGTTTGCTTGTCTGTGTATTGACAAGGCCTTGCTAAGTTTCCCAAGCTGGCCTCAAATTTGAAATCCTCCTGCCTTAGCCTCCCCAAACAGCTGGGATTACAAGCACGCACCACTGCTCCGAGTTTCCCATTTTGGACTTTTTACAGTCATGTGTAAGTTACATGCTTTACCCATACATATTCACACGTGCATCCAGATCCCAGAACTGTTTCTATAGAAGGGAATCATGCTACTTCTAAACGTCTCCCCTAACAAGCAAAGCAGGCTTCTCCCCATACAAGTGCACATGGACCTGCCTCTTTCTGCTTGCTTAATGAGTGCTCTGGGACTTCCACAAACAGGGAGCATTCAGGCCCATTTGCTTCCTGCTGCAGCGAGCACCCTGGCACTGGCAGCGCCCTACACCTGTGTGTATTGGGAGGACACAATCCCAGGCATGGACTGGTGGTTTAAGGACCTGCCCAGGAGTGGAGAGAATGCCAAGTTCCCTGGAGACCACTGCGACGCTCTCGAGCACAGTGTGCACAGCCTGAGAGGAAGTGGACTCCTAGCTTCTCTCTTGCACAGCGGGATTTCCACGGCGGCTTCTTCTCCGCAGGTCTAGCAAGCCCACTGCTGTCTGCTGGCAAACAGGGATGTGGGTCTTGGAACAAAGCAGAGCAAAACCAGCCCCTCCTCCATGTGGTTCCCACCTGAGGGCAAGCAGGGGGAGCCTAGCAGCCACCTCCCTACTTTCCAGGCTGTGCAGCTCCTGTGGGAGGAGCTGTGTGCTCCTCAGCACCTGGAGGGAGAAGGCCTCCAGGGCTCAGGCCAGCAGTCAGGGCAGCCAGGGACAGGAACAAAAGTGGAGCAAGCAGATCCTCAGCCTCCACCTGTATGTCCAGCCCTCCTCCCCAGGATTCTCTCACCTAACGGCTTAAGCAAACGAGACATCTCTGGCCTAGAATGACCTCTCTGCTGTAATCCTGTCACTCTGCAAGGCTCAGGCCTTTTTTTTTTTTTTTTTTTAAAAAGCCAGGGTCTCATTAAGTTGCTAAATTGCCCAGGCTATGCTCAGACTTGGAATCCACCTGCCTCAGTCTCCCAAAGTGTTGGGATCACAAGTGGGCACCACAATGCCAAGGCTCTGGCCTCTGTGTGAGAAAGTCAGGTTTGCAGGAGCTGAGAAAGGGGTGCACACACTCCCTGGTGGCCACCTTTTGGACTGCAGCTGTGTCAGGCGCCACAAGGCCCTCACTCAGGGGAGGTGGTGCAGGTGCTGCCTGCTCAGAGCTAATTTCTCACCATGGCCACTTGCTGCCTGCCAGAGCTGCTCGAGACCACACCACTGCCACTCGCGCCCCACCTGGGGACCACATGGCCTCTCTGCAATGTGGGACCCACTTCTGTCCACTGCCAGCTTCACAGCCTACGGACCCAAGAGAGCCAGCTCTGAGACCCGCCCCAGCCCAGAAGCCCGGCCCACCAAGCCCTTTCAGGACAGCCATGCCCTATCCCCCTGTGCAAACTGGCTTTTCTTCCAGGCCATCTGCATCCAGGCACGTCCACTTTTCTGCTTCTGCTGAGCTCTGGATTCAGGTGAGCTGATGACTCCCGCCACAGTCAGGCCAGGATCCATCTCACCTGTCAAGAACCCACCCCCTGGGCTGTGTGACCCCTCACTGGGTCTCCCTAGGATCCAGGTAACCAGTCAGGGCAAATCCACCTACAGGAGACCATGGAAAGGAAGGAAGGAAGGAAGGGGATCCACAGGCCAAGGCCTGGAACAGCTCTCCAAATCTCCGGGGAGGATCTGGGGACTCACGAAAAGGGATACCTCTGGTAAGAACAGGGTGCAGGCTCCAGCCGGGCCTGGACTCTGGCACAGCACCTCCCAGCCCGCCCTAAGCTCCCTTCTCTCTCCCCTCCCCAACCCTATTAGCCTGTCGACTTCGAGAGCACAGGGACTTGGCTAATCCAGCTAGACTTAGTCAGAGCAGGGCAGTGACAGGTGCTCAATATCTATCCATAATTGATTCATTAACCACAAGACCTGGGGAGAAGTTCGAACACCCCACTCTGAGCTGGGAGGAGCTTCAGCCCTGCTGCCACATCAGACGTCAGACGGATGTGCTGGGCTGGCTGTTTTTGTTTGCTTTTGATAGTGCTTCACAAGGAGACACAGCACATGCCTGGGACACACGTCCTCCTGACATCTCACAAGGCAGCAACAGCAGCTGCAACCGCAGATGACAGCTTCAGAATGGGAACAGCAGTGGTGAGCACACCCCTTTTTCTTTCTCTAGTGGGGGGCCCAGTTGGGGCCACTGGCAGTCATAAAGAGCATCTCTCAGATTTGAGGAGAGCATGGTGCTGTAGCCCACAGCCCCCAAACCCAGAAGTTCTGTTCTGAGTATTCAACCCTGCCCACCGCTTCCAGGGGGCCCTCAGGGTTCGCTGACCTTTGCCTTCCTGCTGGGAAGCCCCCACCCCTGCCCTGGGACAACTGCCTCCGGCTCCTCTGTTGCCCACCACTGCACCTCAGGCTTCTGCAGTGAGAACCCCCTTCTGAGCAGACAAAGTCAGAGGCTCTCAGCTGGGGAAGATTCTGCCACTCCTCCACCCCCAGGACATCTGGCAGTGAGTCTGGAGACTCCTTCCAGGGGTGGGGGGTGCTGGCATCTGGCTGACAGTGGCCAGGGGCGCTGCTATGTGGCCTACAGACACAGGACAGCTTTCACAGCAAAGAATTATTCCACCCCACTGCCAATAACGTCTCTGAAATACTCTAACCTGAGTGGAGGGGTGAGGAGCCATGACCAGGGACAGCCTTTTTCTAAGGAACGTTTTTTTCTTTCTGAGATGGGTTCTTGCTAAACTGCACAGGCTGACCTTGAACACACAATCCTCCCTTCTCAGCCCCCCAAATAGCTGGGATTACAGGCACACATTATCACACCCAGCATAAGGAATTTAAAAAAACAAACAAAACTGTAGTAGGGCTAGGAGTGTACATTGTGGTACAATGCTTGCCTACTACTGTGCGTGAGGCCCTGTATTTTTTCCCCAGCACTGAAAAACAAACTGTGGTAAAGTATGCATAAATGTATCATTTTAACCATTTCAAGTATACACTGAGTACCTTCACATTACTTTTTTCAGTACCAGGGATCGAACTCAAGACCCTGTGCTTACAAGGCAGCCACAGTGCCACGGAACTACATCACCAGCCCATATATTCATTTTTTCCCCAGTACCAGGGATCGAACTCGGGACCTTGTGCTTTCAAGGCAGGCAGCGGAGCCACAGAGCTGAACCCTGGGCCACATTCACATTACTACACTCCCATCACCATCTATCTCCAGAACCTTTCTCTGGAAATTCTGTCTCCATTAAACAGTAACTCCCTGTTCCTCTCTCTCTCAGTAACCACTATCCCACTGTTCTGAGGAAGTGGAAGGGAGGGGGACTTTGAGTCAGAGTCTCTCTATGCAGTTCAGGCTGGCCTTGAACTCGTGTGATCCTCCTGCCTCAGCCTCCCAAGTGCTGGGATTATAGGTGTGTGCCGCCCCACTGGGCCCGAGGAACATTTTAAACCAGTGATGGCAAACCTTTTAGAGACAAGTGCCCAAACTGCAACCTAAAACCCACTTATTTATCCCAAAGTGCCAACACTGCAATTAAACCTGAATACTGAGGTTTTAGTTTAGAAAAAATCACTCTACATTAACATCTTTTGTCTTAAAAGAAAAACACAGCCCAGCTGTGGGGTCTGTGCTGGGCCCAGGCCATGGGAGCCCCCAGCCTCAGCCCTACCCTGCTCCCAGAGCGCCCACGGTGTAGCAGGCAGGTGTGGACAGCTGCTGGTCGAAGTCTTGCCCTGCATGTTGTGGTAAAGTCCTCGGCAGCACTCAGGCCAGCTCACAGTGGGCCACATTTGTTTACAAAGTGCTTTCTCACCCTATCACATTACACTGTTTATCATGGTGCACCTAATTATCTCTCTCCTAGACTGTTTGCGTTGCCTTATTCATCTTTGTATTTCTCTCCATCTATAGCTCTGAGCTCCAAGAACAGGACCCAGGCGCCATATGCTGATAAAGTTGATAAATATAACTATCACGACCATCCTGAGGTAGCTGGCATTGTCCTCAAGCTTTTGGGGCGGGGGGAGGCTCCAAGGCTCACCTTGGGGCACAGCTCCTTGTGGAAAAGCTTCCAGGGTGACCCTGGGACAGGGGCGGCCTTCGAGACTCACTCTCCCTCTGGGTCAATCTCAGGAGCCCAAACAGATCCCAGGAGGGCTAAGGAGGAAGCACAGCTCTGCAGTGCAGGGGGCCACAGCCATCTCCAGGAAATGCCAGCGCAAGACGAGGAGGAGTCTTCTGCAGGGGCCTGTGGGATCCAAACCTGCCATCTCCCGCCTGCTCCTGTGCCTTAAAGGGCTTGGCAGGGTTCAGCCATCAGGGAACCCTGGCATCTGGCCAGCGGTGGGATCCTGACACACAGTCACACATGTGCAGACACATGACGGGTTCGCCCCAAGGTGCCAACAGGCACCCCACTGCCTCAGTAGGGCAGAGGTGCCCACAATGCCAGGAGCAATGTAAACAAAAACACCAACATGACTCCCTGGACCCACACTGCCACTCCGTGTTCCCTCCGGTCAGGTTCCCTCCCTGCAGCCCATCAGCCCCAACCCCTCCTGGCCTTTTCCAGATTGACTCTAGTTTCAGGAAACAGCCACATGTCTGAGTGAGCAGGATAGCCCTGGCCCCAAAGCACTGGCACAGCGCCACTGCTGCCTGCCCCCGGCCCTTCCTGCAGCTCCCTTCCCCTGGCAGCCCTCCCCCAGATCTGCTTGCAGCCGGAAGTGGCCGTGACAGCAGGCAGAGGCAGAGCCCCATCCTTGGACCCTCCTGAGAGAGGTTCCCAAAGGCCTCCTGCTCAGCCTTCTTGGAGTTAATGGAGTCAGGCTCCAAAACTCGGGAACTAGGACTCTGACTCTTCCAGTTTCTTTTTTCCCTAGTGTAACAGCTAAAAGGGCCACCAGTGGGGTCAGGAACCAGCTGCCAAAGAGGGCCACTCTGGAAACGCTGGCCTCTGCTGGGCTCCCCCCATGTTCCCCTGCCACTTTCACTGGGAGCCTCCCCCCTGCTCCCCAGAGAGCTCCCCACGTGTGTGCATCCAAGGAGAGAACTCTGGGGCGCAGTGAGGCCCTGCCAGGTTGTCACGGGCCCTGGCAAACGGATGCAAAAGCAAGCATGCCCAGCGCGTGGTCGGCCCACTGATGTTCTGGTTACAGCAGGGACACCTGTCCACCTGGAAGAGGGCCTGGCCATGCTCTGTGAAATCAACCTCAAAGGATTTTGGGATGAGCTGGAAGCTCCCTTGAAAGACCCATGATGTACAGACCCATGAATTTCACATAAATCTCTTTACAAGCAATTTCCATTTCCCGTCTCTACCATCCCACCTCTACAGGTGTGGGAAGAAGGCAACCCCCGCAGAAAATGGCACCTTCTTCTGAAGCGTCTCCAGGTCACCCCCACCCCCAGGCTGCACTCAGCCTGCCCCACCGGATGTGACTTAGGCTTCAGTGCCTCGATCACGCCTCCATCACACCCCATCACACCCCCGACGCTCAGCCTCCGTCCCTCCGGAAGGGAGAGCCACAATGTCTTCGGTCTGTGCTTGCCCCTTGCCCGGCAGCCTCCCCTGCCCCTTGACTAACCTAGCTGCCATTCTCTGGCGCTTTCCCAGCTCTCTGATGTCCTCCCTGAGGAGAGAGAGCCCGATGCAGACTCTCGAGTGTGGACGAGGAAAGAACCAGTGTCCACAACTCTCCCCCAGGCAGGGTGTGTCGGGCCAGGGGTGCAATGGGACAGGTGCAGGCACTCCCAGGGGCCTCATAGGACACAGTGGCCAAGGCCAATGGAGGACTTGGTGGAGGAGGTCCTGGAATGTGTGGCTCTGAGGAAGGAGTGAGGGAGGGACACAAAGAGAGGGACTTTTTTTTTGGTGGCACTGGGGTTTGAACTGAGGGCTGCTGGATTGAGCTAATCTCCAGCCCTTTTTAAACTTTTTATTTTGAGACAGGGTCTCACTAAGTGACGCTGAGTTGCCCAGGCTGGTTGTGCTCCTCCTGCCTCAGCTTCCCAAAGTGCCAGGATTACAGGCATGAGCACCACACCCCAGCAAGAGGGATTTTTTTTTTTTAAAAAACGAAACAATTTCTGAGATTTCATTTGAATGCTCCTCCTCCCTGCGGTGGCCTCCATCTGCTCCCTTCCAGAAGCCTTGGTCTCTGACAGCAGCTCTGATGCTACCCTGTTGGGCCAGTCACTGGGGCCTGTAGCATCCCCTTTGCCCCTCTCTCTAGCCCCACTGCCGGAGCATGGGCCCTGCCCTTTCTGCACCCACCACGCCTGAGCCTGTGTTCAGGGCCCACCTCCCACTTTCAGCAGCAGGGCTCTGCCGGAGTGAGCACTGTCAGGGCACAGATGCCAGCAAGGCCTCCCTAGACACCCTCCTCCTCCAAGCCTCCAGATCTGCAAGTGTTTCTGAAAGCACAAGGAGGAAGACCCCGCAGGCTGCCTGCAAACTACCTTCTGGACCCAAGTTGGACACATTTCTAAATGAAACTCTAGTCAAGGGCCCTCAAGGCCCTCCCCTGATCCTGCCCCTGCCCCTGTCCCCCACAGTACACCCACCGTATGCATTCCTCCCGACACCTTGCTCAGCAAGTGTCCGTCACTTCTTTTAAGGCCCACATCCTCCATCATGTGCCCCCTGGCTTCCCCAACACCCTTAGGAGCCCCACCCCTGAGGTCCACAGCTCCGCCCTTCAGTCCTGAATTCCACTGGGGGTGTGTGTGTGTGTGTAATGATTTGCCGCTCAGGTAGGGGAATCTGCAGGGAGAGTTAAGTCTCAAACCTCATGAGCTTCTCGAGCGCCCATGTCCCTCACACCTTCCAAAACAAGAGAAGACAGGAAGGGCAGCTCGATGGCTGATGCAGTTCACAGAAAGAAAAGTCACCACAGTGAGGACGACTACGGGCTGAAGCCCAGGAATAGGAGGTACTGTCTCAAGAAGTCTTGTGGCTAAAACACGGTGACCCAAATCACTGAGTCACAGTTCAGTGGTTAGCACAGCAGCAGTTCTGATCTGGAAACAAGGAGGGGTCTGGAAAATGAGCCCATACTGCTAAGAGCTGGGAAACTACCCACCGACTTATGCTGCAGGGAAACCAGCTACCGAAGCTCCCAGAGTTTAACCCTAAGTCTTTTGCCTGGAAGTGGGGCAATCTTGCCCTCTTGAACTCTGTCCCTCCTGCACTGTTATGAGAGTCAGAGGTGGAATAAGGGACGCTGGCCTGGCTCAGCTAAGCCCAGTGCCAGCTCCCTGCCCCTCCTTCTTCTTCTCCCGCCCTTTCTGGGTTATTCTTAGCAAGAGGTGACCTCAGAATGCTCCCTCTAAGCAAAAATAACCCTGGCGGAAGTTGGTGGGTATAAATCTTCAATGAACAAATTCATACAGCTAGTAAACAGGGTATAGAGCCCTGCAGGGCAGGTCACCCACCAGGGTCTAGTGGCCAAGTACAGAAACTATCCCAGACGGAACCACCTGCCCAGGACAAATGCCTTCAAGGCGCTGTCTGGGCTTGTGACCAGGCAGGAACCAGCCTCAGACAGCCTCACTTGTCAGCCTACAACATCCTCGGGAGCTGGTGCACAGAGGATGCCTATTCTTCCCTGCCCTGACACACACAGCCTCGCCCCACACATCAGGCCCCTCCTTCCCGCCCTGAGCACTGGCCAGCCTGCAGGCCCTGGCCCAGGTGCCCGCACCCTTCCTAAGCCCCGCCCAGTCCTGTAGCTGGCTTCCTGTTTCCTGTTGCCGGCAGCATCCTGGCTCCAGCCAGAGCCACAGGCCAACCAGGCCACTCACTGCCTGGCTTTAAGGCAGGCACCTCTTGGTCCCCAGACCACCGCAGCCTTCCCCACTGACACTTGGCCAGTAGCCGTCCCAGCTTACACTTTCTTTGTCTGCTTTTTACACCATTCTATGTACGTTTTCCAATAGCCTGCACTCACATTTAACTTAAGCAAGAGCCTCTTGGTACCCAGCGGGCCAGACCGCACGGCTGCAATGGTGAGGGAAGAACACCACAGGCTGTGTGCATGGATGGTGTGGAATCCAAGTCCCGAATCCTCCCTGAACTCGGGCTACTCGTCTGCATGTGGGATTGATAACAACCCATGTCTCCACCTGCACGCTTGTGTCTTCAACACCAAAAGAGGTAGTCATGGTAAAGGCCTTCGTGGGCAATCGAGTGCTACCCAACTCTAAGCACTTTTTCATGGTCTGTGTCCTCAGTGGGCAGTGGACAAATATAGTGCAGCTTCCCTCAGTGACCACGCCTGGGGGGTGGCACCAAAGGTCAAGACTAGGAAACAAGCTCTCCCCACCTGCTTTGCAAACTATGTGGGGTAAAAAGCCAAGCTTGGGCCGGGGATTTAGCTCAGTGGTTTCGCCGCCTGTTTACGCAAGTGCAAGGACCTGAGTTCGATCTCTAGTACCAAAAAATATAAATAAATAAAATTTAAAAAGCCGAGCTTTAGTTCTGGATTTTTAAAATTCCCTATCCAGGGCCAGGGATTTAGCTCAGTGGTTTCGCCACCTGCCTCACAAGCACAAGGACCCAAGTTTGATCCCCAGTACCGGGAAAAGAAAAAAGGCCAGAGATTTAGCTCAGTGGTACTGTGCCTGCCTGGCAAGCCCAAGGTCCTGAGTTCGAACCCCGGTACCAAAAAAAAATACTTTTTTTGGGGGGAGGGGGGACAGTCTCGCCATGCAGTTCAGGCTGGCCTTGAATTCACTATGTAGCCTTGAACGTGGAGCAATCCTCCTGCTTCAGCCTGCTAAGTGGGGGGATTACAGGAGTGTACCATCATGGCCAGCCAGGGCAGGTATTACTGACAGTCCTATTTTATCAATGAGGAAGCAGCTCAGAGAGGCTAAGTAACTTGCTCAAGATTACACAGCTGGGAAGCAGTAAATCCAGTTTCTTCTGTCAAACTGTGGCTGCCACAGCTTCCTAAGTGGAAAAGGTTGGCCAGGCAAGAGCAGGCCCAGTCTTTGCCGAGGATCAGCTGGTTGGTGCGGGAATCCACGTCAGCGTCACAGCAGTCTACAAGGAATGAATCTTTCTTTTTTGGTACCAGGGATCAAACTCAGGACCTTGTGCTTTCGAGGCAGGCAGCAGAACCACTGAGCTAAATCCCCTGCCCCAAGGAATGAATCTTACTGCTTCTGTCTTGCAGAAGGAACCAGAGGTTCAGGCAGAGTGACTTGTTCAACATCACGCTGATAAGCTGAGCTGGGATTCAAATCCAGCTCAAATGGACTCCAAAAACACTGCTTTTCCTTTGTACTGCACCTGCTCCAGGTGGGGACATATGACCTGCCCTCCCCTCTCACTGTCCACCTGCGTGTCCTTCCCTCATGCCCTGATCCCAGCCCCCGCCCAGTGACGATGGGACTTCAAGGGTTGCTGGCTCCTGGCTTGACACAGGTGGTGGCTCTTGTCCCCAGGAACAGGGGAGCTTGCTCTACAGACCATCAGGTCAGGGGATCAGGGTGCCCATGTGGCTCCCCAGCTGCCCTTCCCCCTCAGGGGCCCTTTGGTAGAAAAGTGCAAGGGCATCCTGGGAATCTGATAGTGGGGCTGGCTGCAAACTGGAAATTCTTCTGGAATCCATTCTATTTTTCATTGTCACATGAACTTTTTTTTGGTACCGGGGATTGAACTCAGGACCTTGTGGTTTCGAGGCAGGCATCGGAAGCACTGAGCTAAATCCCCAGCCTGCATGAACTTTTTATTCCAGGCCATAAAATATCCATGTTAGCTTTAATATTAAAATGTTTAAAATTACTCACCAGTTAAGCTTGTCGCCTTTAGCCCTCACCTCCATCTTCAAGTTAATTGGCAGAGGTGCACTGTCATACCCAGCAGGTTCCCAACGCCGCCCCCCCCCCCCCCCGGCAAGAACCCACCCCCTACCCATGCTGTGCACAAGTCCTGGGCTCCCTGCCCTGCTGAGAACATTTCATCGACCGCTGAGTTATAAATTCAGAGCCTCTGGCTCCACCTCACCTTCTTGCTCAAAGTTTATCATTCTCAGCTGGAGGGGGCTAAAAGGAAGGAACCAGCTGTCTTTGGTGTGGGGGATGAATTCTCCACCTCTGAGCTTAAGGCATACAAAGGCAGGCCCTCCAGCCCCCGGACATGCCCTCTACCTCTTCTCAGCTTGGGCAACCTAAAGCTCCCTCAGACTGCAGCAGCCATGGGTCCCCCCTGCAGAACTCCAACAGCACACTGCTGCTCCCCTCAGCCTGCACAGCTCCAGCCCTGCAGTTCTCTTGGGGGTGCTGAGACCTAGGCTGGGCATGTGCGTCGGCAGGGAGGGGCCTATGCAGCCAGGCCAGGAAGTCTTAGTCCAGCCCAGGGAGTCTGGCAGGCTCTTTTACTGACCTTCCAGCTGGGCCGGGAGGCAGGGGCCTGATTGAAATCCTCCAGCCATGTCCCCTGGCCTCCCTGGGCCCCCAGTTCTCAGTGTAGAAAACGGAGGATGTGAGGTGTCCGTGGGCTTCACAGAATGGGGAATCCGAGCAAGCTGTGTGGCTGATCTTAGCACCCTCACATCTCTGGGAGACGTACATCACTGCTGTCCAGAGTACACACCCATGTATGGGGGTCGTGTGGGACGGGACACTCACCGGGGGGTGCTTGCGCTTCCGGCCAGGCCTCCCCACCTTCCGGGCTGTGGCACTGGGCTCCTGGCGCTCCTCCTTGCTACGAGGCTCCTCCTGCTCCTCTCCTTCCTGTGGGTACACACACACTCTGTGAGCCAGAGCTGATCCGAGAGGCACCTTGTTCCAGGCCTGGCTGGCCTTGGTCTCCTCCTGTTCCACCCCCACAACAGCAACACTTCCAGGGCTGTGCCATGCTGTCCCATCAACAAGGCGACTGTCACCCCCTCCTGCCTGGCGAAGCTGGAGCCGCCCTTAGGGCTCCGTTTAAA